ATGGTTAATGTCCACTCACCAGTATGTAGATACTAGTCAATGTGCGTCTTTATATTTGGTCTTATAATCCTAATTAGTTTATTATCATACTTTTATGCATTTTTGAAACTAAATAAAAGCTGACGATCTGCTGATACTTATAGTGAATTTATAACAGAACTGTAATATCTAGACATTTTATAGTTTGCCAATGTGAATCATAATTCGCACACACACCCTAGTGTATGTTGTCTGTCTCATTACACTTCACGGCGAAAACAATGATTCTGTTGAATGCTACGACAAATGAATAAAAAACAAAATGCAAATATTAAAATTAAAACAGATTAAAGTTATAGGAACAATATCAGGCCATTACCTTGTTTGAGGAATGTATCCATCAATATCCACAAAACTGTTCCAAATGATGTGTCTTTTAACAGTTTAATATACGAAAAAAGTGATAAATCTTTTCAGGTATTGGTGTATAGTCTCATTGGTCACCCAAGATAGCACACCTGGCAACTAATTGCATAATGTCCGCCTTTCATTAAAAACAGTAATTTAGTTAGCCAATAATGGGCAATCAATCAATGTATTGCCGGTTAATCCTTTGAAAGAAGGACGTTGTTTTTACGCAGACACCGACACGGCAGAGTGTATTCAGTATAGATTAGTAAATCTACATACATAAACACTACCTTTTGACAAATCCGCTGTGTAAGATAAAGTAATTAATCAATCAGCGTGTTATCGGTTAATCCTTTGATCGATGTTTATAATGTTGAATATTTACTCCAGACACAAGAAATGCCAAATGGGAACCTTTGTCGGGTAATCTAAGTGTGTTACCACTAATTATACCTGTTATAAATTCATTAACTGACCATCAAGTGAATGATGACAAATAACATGTGTAGGTTTATACCACCTAACACGGGTTACAACAAGGGAGTATTAATTGCTGTATTGCATGTGAAAACTTATGGGCCGACACTGTTTTGAAGAATACAAACAGATTTTTACATGACATGATTAAATATCGAGGTAAAAAAACACAGAAATGGGATCAATTTGGATCAGTCATTATACAAATAGGGCCTAACGACACCAATCAATTGTGACAGAAGCGTCTATGAAAACAAGTTGTAACTCGGAAACTAGGCAAAGCAGGAGACAAAATTAAATGCCAGTAGATTGTGAGAACATATAGCTTTCATTTTTCCACAACAATTGTCACGATTTCAGGTTTATACAAGCCTGTAAACAAGATAATTTACCCCCTGAAATGTAGATGAATTCTGCATCGGCCCTCAAAGCTATTCCTCATATGACGTCACAGAGTCGCGCCGCTCTGATTGGTTGAAATTTCGTTCGCGGGTGAGAATTGTGCACTGTTGTCAAAAAAGGTCGATTTAAGTCAATTAAAGGTCGAAATGAGTAGTTTTAATGACGGGGTTTCATTTATAAGGATGCCAGTTAGTGATTTATGTATTTTTACTCCCTAGGGTTTATGTGACCTTTAAAGTAAACATATAAAACTGGTTACTATTAAAAATGTCACTACCGTTATTGTGTCACTACCATAACAATTAATGGGTTATATCCCCAAACTTCCACATCCCAATACTACCACACATTGTTTAAACAACAACTCCTCATCACCCCTTTTTAGGTAATAGGATAGCCCAGGAAGTGCACTGAACAATATGTAACTAGGAAAGATATGTATTTTTTGTTAATAACCCTGCCTTAATAAAATATATAATATATGTATTCACTGCTGATTAATGGGTTAAACCATTACAGACTGGGGTAATCAGTATGCTATAGCGTGTGCAATCAACCAGAAATTTTGTGGTTAAAGTTGTGGAAGTTTTGGGAGGATACCATCCCAAATGGTGGATCTTTGCTCATGATGTCAGTCACTGGATTGTCTGGTCCAGACTCGATTATTTACAGACCGCCGTCATATAGCTGGAATTATGCAGCGTTAAACAACAGACCAAAAGCAACTAAAGCATCAGGAAGTGGCACATTCTGTGTGCGAAGACGTTCACTTCCTCCGTGAACCCAACACGGTATTGTGGCATAAACCAAGGAGTATAATCTGACAAAATCCTGGCGCCGAAGACCACCTGGTGTTCACGCTTAATTTCAAATACCGATGGGATATATTTTCGATTATTTCAGTATTATCATTAAGAGTATGTTAGTTTAGTTTCAGTGAGTTTAATTTTACGCTGCACTCGTTAAGAGTATTTACATGATTTGGCATATAAACTGCATGTTCATTAAACTTACCCAGAATTGAGATTTCAGGTAGCATCTCTCTTTAGGAAAAAGTACTTCAGAGTAAATCTTTAAATATTCCATTGCTGAAAACGTACTTTTGAAGTAAACGGGTATTGTTTAGTGCCGATATCAGCCATATCATGAAGGACATCGGTTATGGGCATTGTATCCATTTGGAGAATCGAGCCCAGGTTTACGGCATGACGCCACCTTGGCTACCCACCACCTCTCGTAAGATCATCCTCTTGGCGTAAATTCTGTGTTTATTGTTATAAACGTTTTAACCATTCCTCGTTGTTGCCTCTGAAAATGAATGTTGAAGGGTGTGACGTGTCTGATTACCTATCGTTATCTATATCGACATGGGTTGGCTCATGCTATCAACCATTGATTTGACAGGCCAAGAATTGATTTTTTACATGTTTCAGGATTTCAGGAGCGTCATGACACACTTACTGTGTTTGATCAAGGTTACAACGTTCAAGGCCTCAGTAAAACTTTCAAGACGTTTTATGGTAGACATGTGGAGGAAATGTCCAAATTTGAAGCATCAGTGACAAAAATGATGTCCGATGCAATTCCCTAATTTGACTTATACCATGCCTTCCCGAATTATTTCAGGTGAACAAATGACTATATTTTGCATATGTTTATGACGGATGCCACCGGTGGGGCAGGATACGCTCGCCTTTTCGCGAACACCTGGTATCATCAATATTTCATAGTGATTCATAAACACATGCTCTGTCATGATGACAACCACTGGGTTGTCTGGTTCAGACCCGATTTGTTTACAAACAACATCGCACAGCTGTAATACTGCTGAAACAAATATCTGTTCATGATAAAGTACCAACTGTACAATCGACTCTGCTTTTGGCAGAGATTTCTTATGTATGTGGAAAGGGTTTTGTCGCTTACATGACATATACTGGCTGTATATATCATTAGTGACAGTGTAAAATTATTTTCTCCCCGCGTTCATGCTGGAAACATAGGTACTGTAAATCCCCATGATCCAGAGTAAGGTGGTCTGTAGCCTGGTTTGAAATGATAGGACTGGATCTGTTGTATATCGGTGTTCCTAATTTTTATCAGGGTAGTTTTATGTTAATATTGTGATAAACCTTAGGATTTTACTACCGTTTATTGAGACATTGTAAAATAAACACCTTATTCCATCGCTGCAAACTTTCAAGTCAATCACTGGTTTATGACAGCCAAAGTCCTGGAAACCGTTAGGGTGAGTATCATTGATTTAACATTAGTATCTGCAATACTAAGGCAGGGAACACCAGGAATGAGCCGTTCAGTTAAAAACTCATGCATGACCTTAACCACTGCATAGGCGGATCCAGAGGTGCAGGGGCGTGCGCACGCACAAGCGCGCGCACGCGCACACGCACCCACACACCTATTCCTGAAAGTTCATTTAAACATAGGCGAGACAATTTGGTCTCTACTTCTTGTAGATCACGGAAAGAGGCGAGTATTTTTGAATGAGTTTATGTTTATTGCTTCTTTAAGGCCAGATTATGCACACCTGTACCTGTAACAGCTCTAAATGGCTTAGTTTGTTTGTTTTCTTAAAAATAGAACGTTACTATAAATGTGAATGGGAAAATATTTGGTTTTGTGTAACCTACTATATACGCTTCTGTGCAGTATATACCGTAATGAAGAGTTATGTCCCTTTGTTGTCCCATTGCGCATATGCTAACTGTCCCTCCTTTGAAGATGTCTTGTTTATTACAGGGCACAGCCAGAACGTAATCCTTAAGCTTAATATGTTCAATAATATTATCATTAATCATGTATTTTCAGTGTGTCGGTAAAATGTGAAGTTTCATAGCACTGTAAAATCACAAAGAAATAAAATAAATAATATTTGAGATATAATCATGAAGGCGTCGTTAAATGATTAACACACAGATTCAAGAGTACCCGCGAATGTTTAGTGTTTTACTGTAATACAGTTCAACCATGTTAAGTCGGACGCAATGCGATGACCAGATTGTATTGCCCAATACCTCTGTGTGTGTGATAAGAGGGGTCGTATCAAAGTGAAAGATTCGATTTTGATATTAATTCACACTATACTGTTCAATGCGAAATCTCACTAACAACACAGTTACTAATGCTGCGTGTAGACCAGTGGTTTCTTCATAGGCGATACTGCCAGTGTCCGTCAGAAGGTGGATATCCTGGATAACTTCGGCTGCGTATATGACTGACTGACGGCGGGGGACACCAGAAATGGGCTTCACACATTGTGCCCATGTGGGGATTCGAACCCGGGTCTTCGGCGTGACGAGCCAACGCTTTAACCACTAGGCTACCCCACCGCCCGGCTGCGTATATGAACTTAAATGATTTCCACATATATACTCAACCAAAAAAGTAAGGACCACCCCAATATTCAATATTTAAGTATTATGTGGATCATAATATGAGCTATTAAATACTTTAATATTGAAAATTGAGGTGGTCCTTAACTTCCTTTTTTGAGTATACATTTATGGCCGCTAGGGGGCTACATTTGTGTCATTGTGCTGCTTGTCGTGTTCAGTCACGGATTCAGATTCGCGAGTAGTAGTCGGGTCTCGTCATTATCACGAGAACCGGAGTGCTAGGTCACGCCTGATAGTCAAACATACCCCTCGAAAGAGGCGTCACAAAAGCTTCTGCTGCTCACGGCGTGCGTCAACGGAGATATGACCGAGAGATAACATAGATAAATAGTTTATTTCTGTCTCTCGCAATATACATGTACTTACAATACATAAAAATACGAACTACTGATAAGAGAGTGATGGTAATCTGGCTCATGAAGGCATATGTACAATTTAAATACGATTGTGAGTTAGTATAGTGAGCAATCATTCAGCAATATCACACTAGAAATCGGCGTCGCATATTGTACCCATTTGGGGAATCAAACCCGGGTCTCGGCGTGGCGAGCGAACGCTTTAACCACCAGGCTACCCCGACGCTCCTTCTAATTTGATGATGAGTAAATACTATGTACACACAATTAAATAGCTAAACAAAGCAAAAGCTAAACGGGTTTGTAAAGCATAAGAAAACATTGAAACCAGCTTTGAAGTAATGCCACATAAATAAAAACTACCCTTTGTTAATTTTGAACTGTTGATTTGTATAGAAAAAACAGTCCAGTGAGAAGAGAAGCATATTCCTGAACTTATATTGAAAGATCAGATTAATCGCACCTATCTACCGTCTGTACTACGCCCTATCATAAATCAGTGCGTTGTCCTTGACCTTTCTTTGGGTCAACTGAAGGCGCTCAAGTCTCGGAATCGTTTTCGAAGGTCTCTCACCGATGACAATCCAAGCTCTGAAACTGCAATACTCCCTGCTCTTTCCGTGACACCCTAGTCTGTCGTAAAGACCCTGAAGCAAATATATCCAAGAAAGCCCACGCAAGTCTAGAAAATGTGGTAAGTCTAGATTTCCTCAGCTTCTGGAAAGTCTCAGGGCTCCTTTTCAATATTTTTTTTTACTATGAACTTTTTCTCAGTAAAATATGTTCATTTCAGAGACTAGTTGTTAGTCTAGTGACATCCCTGTGACCTGGTTTCTGAAGCACGTTTCTTTAAAATCGGCCTTGTTTTTGTCACTATCCAGGCAACACAAAAGAGTTTCATTCACAAAGTAGCATCTTGCATGGCATCCAAGGAAATATGTTCGTGAATATTTACTTCGAGATAACAGTGTTTTTTAACCTGTTTCTAATGCAATCTTCTCCTCATGGGGATCGTAATTTCAACATTTCTGTACCTCGGGGCGTTATGCTTGTTTAGTGGAACACATAGATAGGGCATATATATGGTGAAAGTAACAATGCAAGCTTATCTTGATTTTGGGGCATTCATATAAGCAGCAAAACTAGAAATACAAACGAAACAAGGACCCCAAAACATTCCCACTTTTCATTGATTAATATCCCATGGTATGCAAGACAAAACGAAATAACAAACGAGTGGAAAAGGTTAACATCTGATTTATATATCCTTTCAACACAACTGTGCGTGTACTGAAAGTGACAAAGAGACATTATTGTTGTTAATTTCATCATCATCATCATCAGCAGCAGCAGCAGCAGCAGCAGCTGTATCAATCACCATCATCATGTTGAAGGCGAAACGTGACTCGAACAACAAAGCAAGTATAATGAACAGATACGTTTCTTTGATACATGTGAAGGTTATGTAGAATCGTAGAATAAATGAGTTTAGTTTTACTCCGCTTTTAGCAATATTCCAGCAATATCACGGCGGGTGACACCAGAAATGGGGCTCTCAATTGTACCCAGAATCGCAGAGACAGCGTGTAAGGCAGAAAGAATCTGTATAAATAATTATATGTCAGCTTATATAATATACAATGCAATGTACAAAACTGGCCTCAATACTGATTATATCACCCATAGGTTATGCGTTGTTGATACAACAGTAATCAATAAGCGTAAAAAGGTCAACTATTTACACAATAACCATGAAACCAGCCATCAGGATCCACAGCAAACAACCAATGCATATATACAAGTTCAACAGGTATAAAAATGATTAACCCCCCATCCACCCACCCATTAATTTCTCAGACGTGCGTATGTGACACACAAGAAATCATCTTCTATTATGCTTGTTTGCTGCAACCTAAAATGGCGCTGGCTTCCCTAACTACTTCTTCATAAACGCTTGCATAAGGTCAATGGGCAGCGGGAAAATGATGGTGGAATTCTTCTCTGCCGAGATGGAATTTAGGGTCTGCAGATAACGCAACTGGAGAGCCGCGGGAGATTCGGTGATGATATCAGCGGCTTCTTTCAGAGCCCGAGAAGCCTTTTGTTCACCTTCAGCGGCAATGACCTGAAACACGGAAGGTCAAGGTCTGTTACAAAGACGTTCGCTTCAGCGTATATATTTCTTTCAGTATACAATTTTCGTTAAGAATGTTTTCTTTTGGCATAAAGGTATAACGATATAATTGTTTGTTATCTTGCACCTAGACGAAATACTTATACAACATGTTATTTTTGGGATTACACTTTCGGCGTTGATACCATGTTGTCTATGAGTGAGTGAGTGAGTTTAGTTTTACGCCGTTTTTAACAATATTCTAGCAATATCAAGGTGGTGGACACAAGAAACGGGCTTCACACATTGTATAGATGTAGGTAATAGAATCGGTCTTCAACGTGTGGAGCGAACGCTTTAACCACTAGACTACCCCGACACCCCTTCAAGCTTTGAAAGTTGGCTATAATACGTATCTCTTCTTAAAATCGCACAGCCCTGGATTAAAATGTTTTCATTGGCACGTTCCTTAAATGATAGGATGAATAAATCTTCACCAACATTATTTGAACAAAGAAAATTCTTTGTTCTGACCCGATGCATAATCACAGGAGAATCTCACAGGAGGCGAGCATATGCGATGAAAGAGTTACCTACCTTTGCCCGTGCATCACGTGTTGCTTCCGCCTCGGCAGCCATTGCTCTCTGGAGTTGGAGTGGCAGTCGCACGTCCTTACTGGAAAATGGAAAGAAGCGGTAAATACGAGTTACGGAGCCATCTTGGAATTAATTAGCTTTCTTTTGGAATATCGTCTGACAAATTCAGAAATATTCGTACACACATGAAACTGTTATCTGTAAGCATTTCTTATCGAAGAACATGAAGGGACACCTGAAATGGGCTTTGTACCCATGTTGGGAATCGAACCCGGGTCTTCAGCGTGACGAGCGAACGCTTAAACCACTAGGATACATAACCGCCCCTTTAAAATTCAGTCACATGACAAAACCACAAAACATTCTCACTGGGTGGCTGTCACTATAATTTTGCAGATGACACGAAAAGAAAACGCGACTATTTCTGAGTTAAAGTCACTTGAGCATATTCCGCAAGACGTCGGCTTGAGGAACACGGGGCTGTCACATTATTTCATCATCATCATTGCGTTTCGTAAATTATACAACTTGGCCCCGTGAAGATCCGGCTAAAGATTGGTTTTCAGCAATCCCTGTTTGCTTGAAACAGGTTCGCACCGGGGTTGATGCATTTCATCGTATTCCAATGGTCTAGAATCAATTTTCATTATATAAATCACTGGTCTGACTCGATAGTTTACAGACCTCCGTCACACACCTGGGATTACAGTAACAAATCATTATAGATAGTAAGCAGCACACAGTGTTTGTGTGGTATCTACTGCATGCTACTTACACTTCGACTCTCTCCACCTTCACACCCCATGGGTCTGTTGCTTCATCGAGGGAAGACTGTGGAAAGAACAGATGATAACAACTGAGAATGTCACACATCATGCTTATATGAGGTGAGGTGAGGTGTAATTGGGTTTTACGTCGTGCCTGAGAATATTTCGCTCATATGACGACGTGCATGCGTGTGTATGTGTATGTGCGGCTGCTTGTACTAGCCCAGCCCAGACTGAAGTTGGTTTTATAGTGCTAGCCCACTGAGATACCATGCCGCAGTGAAGCATGAATACCCCACTCAGACACATTATACTGACTCCGAGCTGACCAGTCCTTGTTGTACCCCTTAATGCCGAGCGCCAGGCAGTGACCAACAAGTACCATATTTTAACGTCTTTTGGTATGACGCGGTCGGGGATCGAACCCGCGACCTTCCGCTCTCCGGGCTGACGCTCTAACCACTACACCACGGAGGCGGTCTTCATGCTTATATGAAGTTAAAAGAGTGAGTGAATGTAGTTTTACGCCGCTTTTAGCAATATTCCAGCAACATCAAATCGCTCGTTCCAAAAACCAATTTTACAGTTACGACTGTCGTAAGTCTACGTTAAACAACGGGTGTCGGGCCAGGACCTCACGTCATATCATTATTTGCAGGCGTGAGTTGGTCTTCAAACCGCTTTTAGCAATATTCCAGCAACATCAAGGCAGGGAACATCAGAAATGGGCTTCACGCATTGTAGTTATGTGGGAAATGGAACCCGGGTCTTCAGCAATACAAGCGAAGGCTTTAACCATTAGGCTACCCCACCGCCCCTGAAGTTAAAAGATGGTACATCTTGTTTCCCTGCCTGTCAACCGGCTTTAAGGGGATATAACAACGATTGGTCAGCTGGGAGCCAGGAAACTGTGTAGGCTAGCCCTATAAAACTGGCATTAGCCCGAACACGCACAATATAACTACAATTATATTATACGCAAGTTAAACGCCATTTGACTTCACCTCAAACAATATCCACAGGTAATGGTACAAAACATCTGAGTATTTACAAATCAGTGTGAGTGAGTTAACATTTAACGTTACATCGCGATATTTCAGCCATATCGCGACACAAACCAGTAAACTGTTTCCATATTTTTGATCATACACAGTAACTTATATTGTTACTGTTACCGAATTACTGATGTATACCTCAACCAACACAGGTCTAAGATTTTCCTCCTCAAAATGTTTACACGGCTTAAAAACAAAACATAATTTGGACATGTCATGAAACACAGTTTGGGCAAACAGACAGGTAGGCTAAAGAGTGAGTGAGGGAGTTGAGTTTTACCCCGCTTTTAGCAATATTTCAGCAATAGCACTGCGGGGGACACCAGGAATGAGCTTCACACATTGTAACCATGTGGGGAATCGAACCCTGGTTTTCGTGACGAGCGAACGCTTTAACCACTGGGCTACCCCACCGTCCCCGGGAGGCAGAAAGACAGACTGACAAACATTAAATCATCTTACCTGCATGGTGTGACTGATACCCTCTCTCTCAGACAAAATCTCGCTCAGACTTTTGGTCCCAAGGACGTTCCTGAGTGTTGTGGCTGCTAACAGCCTCGTGGATCGGCTCGAGTCTTCAACGTTGGTGATGGAGGCGGTGGCGTTGCTGATACGGTAGTAGACCACAGCGTCTACCGCTACTGTCACAGAGTCACGCGTCAATACCTGAAATAGAGTGAGAGAGGTTTAACAAAGTCCATACTGAGAGAGACGTTTAACATTGTGGCTTGTCCAGCGGATAGAAGTCACAAGGTCCAGCGGATAGAAGTTCTGCCCACAGAGAGGGAGTTGGTGGGTCGATCCCCGACCGCGTCATACCAAAAGACGTTAAAATATGGTACTTGTTGGTCCCTTCCTGGCGCTCGGCATTAATGGGTACAACAAGGACTGGTCGGTATAATGTGTCTGAGTGGGGTATTCATGTTTCACTGCGGCATGGTATCTCAGTGGGCTAGCACTATAAAACCAGCTTAAGTCTGGGCTAGTACAAGCAGCCGCACATACACATACACACGCATGCACGTCGTCATATGAGCGAAATATTCTCAAGCACGACGTTAAACCCAATTTCACCTCACCTTATACCAAATTACGTTGAAAGACTGCCCTTACTTCGATCGCAAGGACACCTCGTTTCTATCATCCGACTACAATTTGGTGGTCTATAAACATGACCGACAGTATGTAATGGTGTAAGTCTAGCACTCTTACCCCTAGTCTAGACGTGAGTACATGTATTTACATAGCGCCGTTAAAATGAAATATTGCTGACAATGCCTGCATGACACTCACCTCTTGGGGCGGCACATCAAAAGACACGGTTCTCAGGTCCACTTTGGTGAAAGCATCCATGCACGGGACGATGAAGAACATACCTGACCAAGAGAATATCATCATCATCATCATCATCATCATCATCATCATCATCATCATTATCAAGTTATACGATCTGTTTCAAGGTACATACACACTCGTCAATGTAAATTCATATTTTCAAGATCTCAGAACCATTTGCAAGTACGAGTTTTAATTTTTCTATTTTATACGAAAATAAACCACATTTCGTTTTGAAAATAGTAAACGTATATACATAGTTATTCAGACTATTGGGAATGGTTGTATCACCTTTTCTCATGACAAGCAAAGATTCAGCGAGGAAGCATACCCATGCCTTATGAACTCGGGCTTGAAATATAATGGGGCAATAAAAAGCTTGTACTACGTTATCATCATCCATATCCATCTTCTTCCTTTGACCCGTGAAGATCCGGGATAGAATAGGTCTTCAGCAACCCATGTGCTTGCCATAAAAGGCGACTATGCTTGTGGTAAGAGGCGACTAACGGGATCGGGTGGTCAGTTTCGCTGACTTGGTTGACACATGTCATCGGTTCCCAATTGCGCAGATCGATGCTCATGCTGTTGATCACTGGATTGTCTGGTCCAGACTCGATTATTTACAGACCGCCGCCATATTGCTGGGATATTGCGGAGTGCGGCGTAAAACTAAACTCACTCACTCACTCTTCTTCCTTTATGGAATATACTTTAACATCCAGAAAAAGCCTGCCATTTTGTCAGTTTCATCTGACTGACTGACTGAGTTTGGTTTTACGCCGCTTTTAGCAATATTCCAGCGACATCACGGCGGGGGACACCAGAAATGGGCTTCACACATTGTACCCATGTTGGGATTCGAACCCGGGTCTTCGGCGTGACGAGCCAACGCTTTAACCACTCTACCCCACCGCCCCAGTTTCATCTGAACTAAATGCCCTCTCATATAACAAGTAGAGTGATGACCATTTTGTTTGACTTTGTAGATTTCTTGGGAAGCACTGGGTTCGTTACCGGGTGATCACAACGCAGGTTGTAAGCCAATACGCTGCTTATTTCAAACAAGACGATTGGTAAGTATCTTGCTCATCACGCGAAGGACCCAGGGTGATCATATCGTCGAAGGCGAACAAATCAAATAAACATATTCAAGGGTTAGTTTGAAGATAATATAATTGTGCTTACCTGGTCCCTTGGCACCTCCGGGTACCAGTCGACCCAGTCGAAATATAACAGCCCTCTCGTATTCTTGCACCACCTGCAACAGAAGTTTGGTTTAACTAAGTCACTCATTGCAAGACCCTGTTTTGTTCTGAGAAGGTTACTCAAGAAGTCACCCGTTCCACAGTTACGACTGTCGTAAGTCTACGTTGAGTAACGGGAGTTACGATAACCGTCGGGCTAGGACCTTGCGCCATATCAGAATACATTATGTGTACGCACCAGCAACAGTAACGGGAGTTACGATAACCGTCGGGCTAGGACCTTGCGCCATATCAGAATACATTATGTGTACGCTCCAGTTGGTTTTTACGCGCTTTAGCAACTTTCCAGCAATATCATGGCGGGGGACACCAGAAATAGGCTTCGCACATTGTACCCAGTGGGGAATCGAACCCGGGTCTTTGGTGTGACGAACGAACACTTTAACTACTAGGCTACCCGACGCCCCTAATTATTTCAAGTGATTCCATGGCATTTGATTGACTAAGGAAGATAATTTGTTTGCGTTTGTGTTTTCACGATCACTAAAGGACAACTGATTCTTGATCGATAACAGTAAGGGAGGGGCTATTGCTTCATTATTGCGCTAAACATCGTCACAGGTATCGATTTATCGAATGTTGTCCGCAGTTACGTCTTAATAATTAAATGAGCGGTAAGAAATATATGCGCATATGGACTTAGAAACGCCTGTAAGTAAAATCCCCATATGGATGGATGCAGTGTACACACACCAGTTATTGTTTTAGTTCGCAGTTATCCATAAAAGCAAAAAAATATTGAAATTAATTCTTACGTATTTGTGTACAGTCCATAAAAGGTACTACGTGTATATGGAACATGCTGGGTTTTAGCTGGTTATGTTCGTCGAAATGCTTATAACGAACTATGCTTATAACGAACTAAATTTTGTGGTCCCTTTGACATCGTCATAACCATAGTATTTCTTTGATTCTGTGTCTAAATCTAAGTGTGCCGTTCTGTCGCACCACCATGACATACACCACACTGAAATACTGTCCCCCAATTATTTATGCTTGCTTGGGTGTGATGGAGAATATGTTGATTACAGGACGCCGTAAACAAGCAGCGATATTTTCGACTGTGCCGATCTAATTCATTCATTCATTCATTTGGGCGGTTGGGTAGCCTTGTGGTCAAAGCGTTCGCTCGTCAAGCCAAAGACCCGGGTTCAGTTCCCCACATGAGTACAATGTGTGAAGCCCATTTCTGGTGTCCCCTGTCGTGATATTGCTAAAACCGGCGTAAAACTCACTCACTCAAAGTGAATTCATTCATTCATTCGCACTCACAAACTCATTCACCACTCAGACGCACACATACTCTTATATTGTATATTATCTTGTATATTTTATCATATGATGAACGGTGTTACCGGACCGGTAAACATGCCAATAAGGCCACATATTAAGTATTCTATACATCGCAAGATCAATACATTATTGCCTGAATGTGCTCATCAGGTTTCCAATTATGGGTGTTTGTGTGTTTCAGCAGACAAACATGGCTGTCAATCATTGGCACTGTGACCCATGGAGCGGATCACTCAAACACTGTATTCATCCGCGGTTCATAATAATGTGCCTTCACTGAGCCACAAAAATATGATTATTGTACGCATGACTTTACATGATGAAAATATTATTACCGATGTATATTTCCGGATCGGAAAAATATATATGTGGATTAAAGTATGCATTATGCTTGCACAACACAACTTTAATACCCAATATATCATATTGACATTACGACAACGAAGTTGCGTAGTTTAATCCATAAAATGAAAATATAAGACCTAAAGTATACAATAGCATATTTTAAGACTTAGTACAGTAAGAACAAAATCAGTTAATTTGGTGAGATTGAATGCCACGTCCGACCTTGATCGTACACATTGGTTAGATACATATTTGCATTTTTCTTAAAGTTTACACTGATCATCCTTTTCTGTGATATATTAGTAACATGATATCATAAAACACATATTTAGTTCAATATGTTGACTTCCATTAAACGATGACCAGATACGAAGCTATTGTTCTCTATAGGTTACCACTACAGAAGTAACCGACATCAATCGTAGGTAGCCTGTCGTTGTGTACAGTCGCTGTGTGTTTGGGGCGAGCTGCTTCAGAACACGTGGACACTTCAGAAGAGTTCTGATTGATCAGTCCTCTAATTAACACCAATCAATCAGTTCCTGAACTGTCATGATATCCCTGGCAAATTTACTCATGAAGTAGATGGCGGCTAATGACCGTCACCACTCCACAAAACACACACAGATAAATAACAAGATCGTCTTCAATGTCCTCAATCAGTGGATTGTTCAATGGAACTGAAAATGTCTTTGTCGTTTTCCGGAGTATAACGTTTCTTTGATTTGCAAAAATAGATATCATGCTTACGTAAATTTACGTTGATTAAATACCATATTTTTAAGGAAAGACTATGTTGCTATGGAAACCTTATATCACGAAGGGTAGTAGTCACGTGACAGTACTGTTAAGGTACATTCCGATGGGTAGTAGTCACGTGGTGTCAAGGTTATAGTAACCTCATACCGCAATATGTACTATTTACGTGATATTGATCCCTTTATACACACAGATGTAATTATGCATATATATTTGCACGTATTCTATTTTCTCTATTTGCACGCAATAACATCGATATCAATGACCACTTTATTAGTTTTAATTGGTTTAATAAATGTTTGTTTGACTCTGGGCCTAGATTTTCGAAACTCTCTTAGCGCTAAGATAGTAGTAAGTTAATGTTAATGTATGGCAAACTGGCGCCAGAGTCCTGTGAATTATACAATGAAGCCTTGGTAATAAACTAGGAGCCTGTCGCCTTTAAAAAATGATGCATATACAGAAAAAAATATGTAAAACGTATTGGGCCACGAGAACACCAGAGTATCCCAGCTGAATCACGATGTGGGACCTTTCTCTTCAGACTGAACTTGGTCGCTACCCCGTAACCCCGCAACAGAATCGCATATGTAAACATTGCAATCTAGCTGCCACTGAAGATGGATGACATGTTTTAATTGTCTGTCCAGACTATTCTGATTTAAGGCATGCTGTTTTCTATAAAATCAGTCAGTTTGAACCCTTTCTATGCTATATGGACCCAATCGAAAGTTATTTTACCTGATGATAAATGACCTTTTCTCACTACATCTAACCGACTCATACTTCACTATGTACAAACGTTGACCCCTTTCCTGTTAGACCCGTGAAGATCCGGGTTAGAATGGGTCTTCAGCAACCCATACATGTCGTATGAGGAGACTAACGGGATCGGGTGATCAGGTTCGCTGACCTGGTTGACACATGCCACCGTATCCCAGTTGCGAAGATCGATGCTCATGCTGTTGATCACTTGATTATTTTATCTAAATCTGTGTCTGGTAATCATAAACTTATGAGGCTGGGCCTAGATTTTCGAACCTCTCTTAGAGCTAAGATAGTCGTAAGTTAATCTTAATGTATGCAGGGCTCCAGATAAGTTTTCAACATCAGGAGTACGTACTCCTTATTTGTTTAATATAGGAGTACTGGAAAACCTTAAGTGTACATGTAAAGTACTGAATGGAAATTAATGGAGTATCAGTAATTTGTGTTTCGTTTCATGTATGCACCAGAACATTGATTCTTGTGTAAACAGGTCAATGAACAATAAAACAATACTTTTTCCGATAAATACGTTTGTAAATGATTCTAAGACTGTACACCATTGCTGTGGTGCGTATTTGCTACGTTTTCTAAATTATTTCCTACCGTATCGTGCATATTTTATTATCCGTACATACGCCGATACGGCCCTTATCTGGAGCCCTGACTGTATGTCACTAACGACTATCTTAACGCTAAGAGAGCTTCGAAAATCTAGGCCCAGGACTTTCCATACGTTACATATCCCGTTTCCCATCCCACTGTAATTGCAAAGTGTGACACATTAATAAAACAACTTTCTTCTTCGTCTTTTCCTTCTTTTATATTTACTTAGGGACAATTGATATGGGATACCTAAACACTCCATCGCCATGCCTGTATCGGCAACTAAAGATCACATTATGACCCATGCTCTCACGTGACCGGCAGAGTTATTCTGCTTGTAATTGCCCGCAGGTTCATTCAGATCGACATTCATATAACTATTGATTAATTCTGTATACCAAACAAAGATATATTCACACTATACGCCTGTAAACGGAAATCAATATTTACTATCCCGTCGTCCATCATCAATAATCCACATTGGTTGCCAACCAGAGAAATCAATTGCATTTGTAACTTCAGTGGTCAGCACCCACCGGTGTAATGTACACGAACTACCCGTGAAGATCGGGTTAGCATTGATCTTAATGCACCCATGCTTGTCGAAGGGACTGTATCGGGATCAATTTCCGATTCGCTGACTCCTTGATGCATGTCATCGTATCCCTATTGCATGAGTGAGTTTAGTTTTACGCCGCACTCAGCAATATTCCAGCTATATGGCGTCGGTCTGCAAATAATCGAATCTGGACCAGACAATCTAGTGATCATCCGTATCCCTATTGAGCAGATTGGTGTTCATGATATCGGTACCTGGGCCTCGATTTTCGAAGCTCTCTTAGCGCTAAGATAGTCGTAAGTGCCATACATTAACATTAATTTACGACTATCTTAGGACTAAGAGAGCTTCGAAAATCTAGACCATGGATGGCGAGATTACATAATCTTCAGATGGAAGTCGTATAGATGGAGTATTGCTCAGTGAGGCGTTAAACAATAAACGTAAAAAAGGAATTGCAGTGAATGAATCCGGACGTCCTTCCATGATCATCCAAACAAGGTAGTTGTGCTCACGTAATTGCAGGTGACGCTGCTGATGCAGGTGATGCCCAGCTGCTTTCAATACAACCTTCACAAGGCCTCTACATCGCATGGTGGAACATACGATTTCAAACTGTTTCAAAAATATTTAAACCAAAAGGTAGGAGATCCTGAAAATATTTTGGCATAGTTTATACGGAATTTGTCTTTAAGAAATGTAACCAAAAATATCAACTTTTTTGGGCGAGTATAGTTCATATTAGTTTTCATAATTTGTTTGTTGTTATACTCCACACTCAGGAATCTTCCAGCTATGTGGCGGCGGTCTGTAAATAATCGAGTCTGAACCATGCAATCCAGTGATCAACAGCATAAGCATCGATCTACGCAATTGGGATTCGATGACAAACGCTCGTACATCAACCAAGTAAGCGAGCCTGACCACCCGATCTGGTTACTCGCCTTTTGCAAGATACGGGTTGATGAAGATCCATTCACACCCGAATCTTTACTGGTCTATTTCATATAAGCAATCATTATAGTGGTGTTTTTTGTATGTTGTGCTGACACATCTTGATGACAACAAGTGGCATGCTATACTGTTGTAGAGTTAACTCAATTTTCGCCCATCCCGACATTTGCGTTTTCTTAAATATTGTCCGGTTAAACAAATGTCCGGATACCTGAATCATTGTCAACTGTCCAGAGTAACCTCCCCGTTTAGAGTAACCTCCCTTCAATCACAACGGATGCAAAGGAAAAAAACACCTACACCTCATGCGAGGGCAATCTGATAACCTAAGTGACATGCCACATCATGAGGTAGTGGTGTTTATCCACGGGAACAAAGTCGCAACGGTCTGATATATAACACAACGATCCGATGAGCAAAGTTAAAGGTACCTACGATAATGCTACAACACTATCATATCTCTCAAACGTTTTTCTAAGAGGGGAGGTAGGGTAGCGTTCGCTCGTCACGCCGAAGACCCGGGTTTGATTCCCCACATTGATAGAATGTGTGAAGCCCATTTCAGGTGTCACCCACCGTGATATTGCTGGAATATTCCTAAAAGCGGCGAAAAACTGATATTATTTTTTTAGTACTTTACATTACATTATTGGTATATCAGTGTTTAGTAATTTCTACACACTGACTGACTGACTGAGTTTAGTTTTACGCCGCTTTGAGCAATTTTCCAGCAATATCACGGCGGGGGACACCAGAAATGGGCTTAACACATTGTGCCCATGTGGGGAATCGAACCCGGGCCTTCGGCGTGACGAGCCAACGCTTTAACCACTAGGCTACCCCACCGCCCCAATTTCTACACAGATCACTCGATGCACTCCTGTGTGAATGGTCCGTGATCACTTGATTGTGTGGTTTGTTTACAGACTGTGGAACTAGGCCCTGGGCTAATGGTGGCGCCTTGCACTACAATGACGTTAACGAGTGATCATACTTTCAGCATTATTCATGGTATATCATGGCGGGACCACACATTATATCCCACGTATGGATTCGAACCCGGATCTTCCGCGTGACGACGAACGCATTTACTATTTGACTACCCCACAATGATGTTGGCCTTGTACAGCCGCTATTCTCACCTTAATGGCTAGACACAGGCAGAAGGGAAAGGTGATGAGCATGACGAAGAGGGAGAGGCCATACAGGACATATCCACAGCAACCGATCCCAGTGTCCTCATTACTGTCTGAAACAAATAAGAATAATGTTTGGAAGCTGTTCTGATGTGCAGTTACAAATCAATCTCTCTCTCTCTCTCTCTCTGTGTTTACAAACGCTGGACAGTTTACTGTCCCTAATAGTCTACTGAATACGCTCAACAACACCCTAACCTCGATCCGCTGATCAACAACGTACACAAGGACAAGTGCATGACAAGTCGTACACGACCTGTATCCACACACCATTTCACCTATTCACTTAATTGGAACACGCATCTAGGTCAGCTAGTTAGATTCATGCCCATCACACACCGTGAACTGACACAAGCATATACGTCCCTAGATAGATGCCCCTAGAAACAGGGAGTCAATACAGGTTGATCTACTCTTAATGAACTCCATGAAAACAGCAGTCCAGGCCACAAAACGTTATAGCACAAAAACAACAGAACGACACCTCAATAGTACAAGGTGTATCACTCGTTTGGATGAAGCGAGAATACGTTCTACCACATAGTATTTACCTGCGTCAATCGAGAACGGCTCTACTTTAGCACTGCCGTGTCCACTCATATTGCTGGTGCTAGGATGAACGACTTGTGGAGTTTGAAGTGATGACTGAGGGTTGTTGTCTAAGTCCCGATAGTACTCGTCTATCGCCTGGTCCTTTCGCGTGTCGTCTGCCTCTCCGCCCTCGCCTTGATACATCACGCTACTCCCTTGAAAACTTCCGGTGTGAGACCTGGACTCTGTTGCTAGTCTCGTGCTCCGTCTCCATAACAAACAAACACTTCGATTAGGAATTCACGCAGTTGGTATTGGGTATTCACTATGGTCACTGTATAGATGTTTAGCGTTGACTTGTATGTTATTACCCAGTGGCTATTTATTTCATGTAACGGTTGGGGACAAGTTCTCATTTATGTCAGTCCAGGGCGATCGTTTTTCTATGTTATTTTGTAACAGGGGTGCACGCTCTTTTCTTCTTGCGTAATTTTCAGGCACCCTTACACAAGGTCACAAGGAGGGTGAGGTAGCAGGTGGTCCGATCCAATTTCGCAATCATTCTTACCCGCTTGTCCAGTTCTACAGCTGTATTCAAATGCCACCCGCTCTAGTTAGCACAGCTTTACCCCAGGACGCAAAGTCATGGTACTAAAACAACAACATTTACGGTTCAGTGAACAGATTATCTACTACCTGTTACCTACACATTATAATGGAATAGTCCAAATAAAAATACAGGAACAAACTGAAGCTATATTATTTATTTTGAAAGATGGATGAAAAGACATTAATTTGAACTGTTTGTTTTCATAAACATTTCTAGTCTAACGGGAGTCGGCATCATCATATTGAAAACATTAGCTTATTTATTAGAAATTGCGACACTGTTGTATCATATAAATCAAATAAAGACAAATGTGAACCTAAATATTATTCATATGGAATAAAGAAGTTATATGTTTTGCACACAATATTAAGATATATGACGAGTGCACTTTAAAATTACGATTTATTTAGAATAAATATTTAAAATATGACGCATCATGTCAATGTGGCCATGGATGTGAGAATGTTTTCATTACTTCCTTGAATGTCCATTGTATACTACTCAAAGACATAAACTGTTACAATCTTAAGAAAGTATTGTTTAAATTAGAACACTGATTGGTATTAATCGTATCTTACATGGCAATGCAGGTGTCTCATTTACTGCAAATCAGAATGTTTTCAAATATGTACATATCTATATCTCTCCAACAAAACGTTTTCTCAATTAACTTCTGTTGTACATATGCTATTATTGGGAGGGGGCTTTTCTATCAATAAACACAATCAAACCTCTCAGTGACAAATCTGTTTTTGTATTCGATAGTAATTGAGAGTAAAATCAATTTTGAGAAGAGATATCAATTATCATTTAATCACAACAAAGTTATATTTACCCACAATCAAACTTCTCAGTAACAAGCCTGTTTCAGGCTCACCCTGCTCTACTCACTAGACAGTGGACTGTTCCATTATACCCGTAGGTGTTACTCTAATTATCCTTCTAGTTCAGTGTCTGCCAATTGGGTGTCTGTCAAATGGGTGTCTGTCAAATGGGAGATAACCTTGGAAAGTAAACGAAAACAACAGTGAATGGTATTACACTCGCCTATTTCGGCTTATCTCATTAACAACGGGTTATAGCCTAATGTTTGTATAACATTTTTCACGTGGCACCTCATTAACAATAGACAGTTATTAAACAAACCGTAATTGTCTTATGTAATTAACCTTATTATCATGGGGTCACGTGACACATCCTTTAAAAACTCAGCCTGTCCAGTCAAATTCCTATTTATAAATTTACCTAAGGCCAGACCAGTTTCATTTCTTGTTTTACGGATTTTTATCCCCAGAAAACCTAAAGGCAGGAGGGAAAAAATAAAAATACAAATAAATAAATAGTAAAAGTATTTTACTTTTGGCAATTTATGAAGTGTGGCAATTTATGAAGTGTAAATGGGGCAAAACACAATCTAAAAACATTTCTTGTAAATTTACATGTTTGACCAATAAAACATTAGGATTATATTTTGAGCGGGGAAAATTAACTTGTATTGTTTTTCTTTTTCTTGAAAAATACGACAGGCGGATCCGTAAAACAAGAAATAAAATTGGTCTGGCCAAATGTGTTTTTACAAACGAATTGTAATAAACGACACATTGTTGTTTGGGCCTAACACGAGAAGACTTTGACCAGTGGTGTTTCCTGACTATTGATAATATTGAAAGAGGTTAGTGTAGAAATATTTTATTCAACGAATTGAACATGGATTGGTAAGCAAGCCGTAATGGCTTATTTGAATACCTTTCCATTACATTGATACATGAATACAATAAATATTAAATAATATACAGTATGATAGGAAAGCAAGCAACCTGCGTATTGAACATCATTAATCATTTATCAAACCTATGCGAATTTATTATAAAAGTATGGACAAGTTTTAGTATGAAATAATTTATAAGTTTATTTTGAAAGAGGTTCGTAATTTCATGTTATGAACCCCATAATAAATACCGGAACATCTTTCTGAAAAATCATTGAATTCGGTCTTTCAGTTTGAGATAAGATTTCTTATATACAAACGCTCTTAATTGTGTCAAACAATAACACAGGGCATTTTTATATATGATTAGGAAGTAGCACACTTTACGTGAATACCTATTATGGAAATAATATCTACATGAATATTGTCATGCATAATATTTGTCATTATTGAATATATACGTGAATTAGATGTGCGGGCATGCATAGTTATGCATGTCATCACGCCAGTGAGAGCACAACTGCGTTGCATATCATGAGTGAGTGAGTGAGTTTAGTTTTACGCCGCACTCAGCAATATTCCCGCTATAAGGCGGCGGTATGTAAATATTCAAGTCTGGACCAGACAATCCAGTGATCAACAACATGAGCATCGATCTGCGCAATTGGGAACCCATGACGTGTGTCAACCAAGTCCTCGAGCCTGACCACCCGATGCCGTTAGTCGCCTCTGTAGCATCAAAAACAACTATTAGAAACAGACACAGTGTGGGTGAGTTTAGTTTTACGCCGCTTTTAGCAATATTCCAGCAATATCACGGCGGGGGACACCAGAAATGGGCTTCAAACTTGTACTCATGTGGCGAATCGGACCCAGGTCTTCGGCGTTAACCGCTCGCCCCCTATACAGAAAATGGGAAATATTATAATGCAAATAGTACCGTGTGTGAAAACAACTGATTTTTTTAATTTGCTTATACAAAGACCTACAATCATTAATATAATTTCACTTTAATGATTAGACAGATCTGAAATAGCATTTAAAAGTGAGTGAGTTTAGTTTTACGCCGCACTCAGCAATATTACAGCTATATGGCGGCGGTCTGTAAATAATCGAGTCTGGACCAGACAACCCAGTGATCAACAACATGAGCATCGATCTGCGCAATTGGGAACCGATGACGTGTGTCAACCAAGTCAGCGAGCCTGACCACCCGATCCCGTTAGTCGCCTCTTACGACAAGCATGGGTTACTGAAGATCAATTCCAACCCGGATCTTCACGGGTGTTGCATATCATGAATGTGATGACAGAGAATATAAAAATATCTGGTTCAACGGCAAACATATATATATGATTTAGGTGACAACCTTTGAAGTATATTTGAGAATTGATCTAAGTAGTGGTATGAGTGGTTCCTGAATGACTATTATTCACTGTTGTTCACTGTTTAGTTCAGTTATAATAACCAATGAAAGATCGCACTTGCTATTATGTATACAAACCTAATATTTGAGTGAGTAAGGTTTTACGCCGCTTTGAACAATATCCCAGCAAAATCGCAACGGGGGACAGCTGAAATGGGCTTCACACAGCCTAGTAATTGAAACGCTTGTATCCCCAAAACATGTTATATAGGTTTATTGTATGATTATTTATCCGTGGTACATTAAACCTGTAAACACTGGAACTTCTCTTCTTTGGCTGATCACTACTCACGAATTTTCTCCTTTTATTTCAAGGTCAAGATAGCATCTTCTCTTGTTTTCCAATAAGTAATTTAGTAATAATACACTCGACTTCACTTAAAATAGACATGAACAGATTGCGTGCGAATTTGTCATTAATGCCAATTTTGCATACTGAGTGGTCGAAAGTCACGAACAACACCCTTACACAAAACAAAAACAACAACAGCAGCAGCAGCAACGACACTTTATTAAGTTGTGTTAAACACGTGATCACAACAGGTACGCACACGGTACCGGTGTACAACCCCTGGTCGTTCAGGCCTAAGAGGGCGGCGGGGTAGCCTAATGGTTAAAGCGTTGGCTCGTCACGCCGAAGGCCCGGGTTCGAATCCCCACATGGGCACAATGTGTGAAGCCCATTTCTGATATCCCCCGCCGTGATGTTGCTGGAATATTGCTAAAAGCGGCGTAAAACCAAACTCAGTCAGTCAGTCAGTCAGACCTAAGAGGCTACAATTGTATGAAAATACAATTTCCAAGATATTAATGGAAATGCGTACAAGCCAGTAAATGTAACATTGCCGTAATAACTACCGAAAGCAAAAATATCAGTTGACTCGGGCCTTGCAGCGGAGGTATGCTGTTTTGTTCGGCATGGGGTTCTCCACAACGTCTATCAGGTCACGGTGGAACATGAGAGTGTTTGGGGAGGTTGGTCATGCGGAACACCGGTCGGTATCCACCAGCGGTCTGACTCGGACCGATCGCTTGTCACATGGCCGTTTGAGCTACATATTACTGAGTTGTCAATACGGGATATATAGAGATTATTAACCGAATGTGTTTCCGTATCATTAATATCATATATTAGGAATAGAAAATTGTATTATGCCAACCTTTGGCGAGCATAAAACATATTTTTTATTCCTAGTTATATATATATGATATTAAGGATACGGAAACGCACGAGGTTAATAATGTCTTTATCATATAATGTCATTCTTAAAATTACTCTAAAGAAGAAGCACATGGTATTCTATATATGAAGAGAATCGAGCATTCGCGTAAGAATACTTAGCGGTACACCAAGGTGATGGTCGTCCATGACGGCGGTATATGGTTGTGACTAGTCGCTAACGTAGTGCCAACGTAACTCATGCCTAAAATACGATCTTTCTGTCTAAAAAGAACAACAAAATCAGGCAGGGTTTTCTTGGTAGTGTATCTATTTTCATTTCATCACCTCATCAGTATCAGTTTCTGATACCTGACGGAATTGATTCGTCGTCTTCTTTGTTGTGACCGATAGATCGAATTCCTTGGTTGGTATCTTTCTTAGACGATAGCCTGTTACTCGTGCCTCATAATCCGTACTTTCAATTTGAACGAAGTTCTCCTTTCCATGTTTTCCAAAGTCAATTACTGCTGCAGTATTCTTACGGAATCACCAATTTTGACAGCCAGAACCCCTCTGTCATCAATTCTTACAGAATCACCAATTTTGATAATGGGGCCGGCCATGTTTGTTTACAAACTCGTCCACTCAATGTAAACTCGCGACGACGT